ACATGCACCTCCTCCCAGTCTTCTACTACCACAACAAGAATGCTTGGATGACAGCAGTGTTGTTCACTGACTGGTTTCACAATTATTTTATGAGGGAGGCCAAGGATTACTTGCAGGAGAAAGGCCTGGAATTTAAGGTCCTTCTCATGATCAAAAATTGCCCTGGCCACCCCGAAGCCCTCTTGGTTGTCAACAAAAACGTTGAGGTGATCTTTCTGCCCAAGAACACATCATTGCCCTAACCACTCGACCAAGTACATGACCTGCACCTTCAGCAGAATATGGCAGGCCTTGGACGACAACACATGGGATAGTGCTGAGTCAGTGTGGGAAATGTGGAAGAAGTTCTCCATTGCAAACTGCATCTCCATCAAGCAGTGCCATGATGATCTGACAGCCCTCTGTGTTAACTCCTGCTGGAGGGCCCTGTGGCCAGAGGTGGTGAACGACCTCGCTAGCTTCCCCACAGTCAACCAGGATGTGCAGCACATCGCCCAACTTGCCCGTCAAGTGGGAGGTGAGGGGTTCGACAACCTTCAGGAGGAAGACATGCAAGAGGAGCTCCTGGGTCAGGCTGGGGAAGAGCTGGCCAAGCTTGACGAGGAGCAGTGTCGCGAGGACGAGGAGGAAGACAGTGAAGTGGAGGATGAGCCTACCTTAACTGTCATGAGCCTCAACAGGGGCTTGCTGGCTACTAGGGCACTCGTGTACAAGTTTTTTGAGGCCAATCCCTCAATCAAGAGATCAGTCAACTTCAAGAGAGGGATGTAGAAGCCCCTTCTTCCTTACAAGGAAATAATGAAGGAACTCAAACTCAAGGTTACTCGGCCTCCAATCACCATGTTCTTGTCTTCATCCACTCCAAGCCCTATACCTTCTACATCTGCAAGAGCCTCAGCCTCCTGTTTGTGCTCTTCCTCCTGACTCTGATTCCGACATGGACGACCCTCCTCCTGCCGTCCCCAGCCCTGACCTCCCTCCGCTCTCCTCTGCCTCCTCTTCCAAGGCAGATGAGGAGCACTTATTACTCCCCTGCCTTCATCTTCATGATTATCATTCATCATATTCATTATTTTCATCATGATATTCATCAGTAGCAGGGGAGAGAGGAACAGGGTCTATACAAACAGCTTGCATGGAATGGCGAGTGTTACTCTTATTTTTATATGTACTGAAAATAACGAAAAAATATTAAATAAAAAATTAAAATTTTCTATTCAAATAGGAAAAATGTACCCCCAGCAAATTATATTCGCGGATTGGGCAGTTTGCGGCCATTTTGAGACCAAAACCCCGTGGATTTTAAGGGCATTCTGTACTGGGCTGTGTGGTATTGTAATGATGCCTAATTTGTAATACAGTACTTTATTGTTGTGAGGTGTTCGCACCTCAACATCCAGCATTCCCCCTTCCCTGTCGAGTGTCATAATGCCCACATTGTCTTCTTAGGTGTGCCTTGAATGGTGGCTTGTGATTGGTTGAGGGGCCAGTGAGCTGCCCCTCTATTCAATTTTAAAGTCAATTTTGGACACTGTGAAGGTGAGGACAGGTGAGCACACTAGGACCTGAGATCCCTAGCCCGAGAATTGCTGTTCGACACCACAACCGCATCCAGCCCATACGTGCACGAACTGATCGCTATAAGAACAGCCCAGTCCCAACCATTGTAAAAATTATCAATAACTTGTAATAAACCAGTGTATTCACTCCCAGTAAGTACTACTTCTTGCACTGTCACTATGTTGAAATGCACTGTAGTTTGAGCTTTTCCCCATCTAGTTATTATATATCTTATTTGTATCACTTATGTTACTTGTATATTATTTGTAATTCGAAACCCATTCCCCAAATATGTAACTGTATATTTTCAGCCTTCTGGCTGCCAAGCTCTTTCAATAAACCGTTAATTATTATTATTATTATTATCAGGACATCCAGGGAAGATCAACATCCCACACATAGATAGGCAAGTAGAATGGGAAGGTAGATTACACAAGTGTACAACCTAATTTCAGTATAATATTGAGAGCAACATAGGCTTACTTAATGCCAGGATATATGTTTCAATGTAATGTATTCATCATTTCAAAATTTAAATAAATTATAACAAATGAAGAGCCCTCTCAATAACAACTCCTTACCTAATTGGAGTAAACTGTACTATATAAGGAAAGTGGACAAGTAAAAAGAAACATATCTCTGTGAAGTGCATTATTATTCAACCCTTCTCCTCTGTTATCTCTATCCTTCCTCTCCCTTGTTATCTCCTCTACTCTCCTCCCCTCCATTCTTGGAAGTAAGGGGCAAGTCTTCAAACCACCTCTGTGCTCCCTCACTCCTCCTCCACCTCATGCCTCTCAGTTCTCTCTAATAATTAACATAAAACCCATAAAATCAAACCCACAGTTGTTACAGTCTTTGGCAGCATCAATTAGTCAGAAAATAAGCATAATAACAAATAAATCCCAATGAGAGACACTATCAGCTGACCCAATGGCAACCATACACTTTCTCCCAAGAAATATTCCCTTTCCTTCACAGAACAGAACAAGGGCACAGCCATGACTACCATTCATCACATTCCAAATACAGGAGGTCCTAGTTATAATTTAAGTGGTTAATAGGGACCAGAAAAAAGCCATTGGTATTGAAACCACTTGTAAAGGGAAATTAATTCCCCTAAGAATTAATAGGAATAGGGTCTAATTGGGACCATTACATTGTAAGTGACACTCATAAAGTTTAATTTGGTATCTTTTTAAAAGTTATATATATACCTTAGAAACATTTGATTACACATTATTAACTTCACAACTTATTTAAGGCACTTAAATCTTGGAGGTCGGTGTGTTGATGTGGTGCAAGCTACCTGCTACCTAACCATGCACTCACACACTCATTTCAGTGAAAGTAGTTCATTAAAACATGCTCACCATTTTTATTACGACATGTAACTTCTTCCTTTTAGCCACTACACCTCCTTGCTTCGGTTTGGAACTGATGGCTACAAAAATAGTCCACCAATGTCACCAAAGACACAGCAAAGTTGATAATTATAGTTCTAGGAGCACTTCAAAATAATGCCTGTGGACACAAGCAACTGGTACGGGGCATGCATAGCACGGGTGAGAAGGATGACCTTTAAGAGAATGGGAGGTGGATAGGAATTTCAATCACTCAAACACTTGTGTTCCCAAAGATTGATGGATTTCAGTCTTAGAATCTCTTAACTGCGGGAACTATTTATGTGTAGGTCCACAATTATTTGACCACTTAAGTGCAAAACCACTTACAATGAAGACACTTTAAACAAGGGCTCCCTGTACTGTACTGTACTGTACTATACAGGAAAATTTTTTCCCACTTTTCACAAATCCCAAGTTCTCATAAAGAGGGCTTTGGTCAACTGAATTACACACATACACACCGAGACAAGGATTGTCTGAAGTAACTATAGTCTAGTCAGAAAAAGGTAAAGTCATGGTCTAAGAAACTACCAAATATGAGGAAGCATTATGGACATTTTCTCCTTCCCATCCCTTCTGTGGAATGTATTGAAAGATCCACAATATCCCCCTCCTTTGCCAAGGGAATCAGATAACCATGTGTGTAGGGAAGCTACACACATGGTTTGTAGGGAAGCTACACACATGGTTTGTAGGGAAGCTACACACATGGTTAATACTTTGATACACATTAAGTAATTAAAATTTACAAGATTCAGTAATAAGGAGTTAAGCACATTAGTAACAAAGGAAAAAGCCATAGACTAATGAATAGTTGGGGTGCACTGGAAGCAATTACTGTACAGTAACAGAGGGAGACACCCCAGTAATCCCCTCTAAACTGCTTATCAGATTTAGAACAACCTTACAGTACAACAAACTCTATGTGAGGATAACTCCAACTTATTGGGAAGTAGGTCAATAACAACCCAAGCCCCTTACTGAATGACCATTTCAATACTGTATACAGTATCTTCCTGTGAGATTTGAGGGATTTCAGTACTGTATGTCTAAAGTCAAGTACATACAGTATATCCATCAATTAGATCTCCTATGGAGTTTCAATGTACTAAGCCATCATTAAGGAGCACACACCAATCACAAAATAATTATATTAAGTATACTGTAGATTCAACAAACCCAAAGATAGGATTGACAGCACAACTCCAGGCTGGAACTGTTCAGAAATCCACCATCAACTGCTTCCTACTAGGCTAGGCTAGATGCTGCATATTGAATAATGTAGTCCTACAATATGCTACCTTCTTTCACCTTAAAGTGAAGAGACGCGACTGAATTATGTTGACGAGCCACAAGAAATAGCAAATCATGTAAACAAACCCCAACAAAACAATGCATTAAAGATCATATGCCATATAGTTCCAGTTTTACCTAAATGATGGACCAAGCCCCTATACTGGACATATACAAAAACAACAACTGTCTCGTGAGGGCCTCCAGTTAGCAACTAATCAAGAAATATGGCTCCAATCTATCAAGATTAAGTTATGATCTAAAGGTTGTTTATGGGATCCAAAATTTTACCAAAAAATAAAACTTACAACACGTGTACAGTACTGTACTAAATTGTTTAGGTTGTACATATAAGGTTAAACAGAAGTGTGTGAGGCAGACAAGTATACACTGTACAATACTGTACAATGAACACAACAAGAGTCTAACTGAAAATTTATAATTCTTGACCACATTGGGTAGCTAATAAAGATACTAACTTCACATTTGCAAATATAAACAAAAACAAAAAATTAAAGGATTACATATGAATGAAAGATATGTTAAAATAACAACAACGAATATGGCTATAAACAGTAAAAGGAGAAAGTTTAATACCGACGATTCAACCCATGATTTTCACTCTGCACTACATTTCTCAAACAACAAATTAGTGTAAGTAACACAATGTAAAATAAAAACCATAATATCATGAGGAAAAATACCAGTGCACCAAAACAAAACAAGAGGTGTTTCAGTTACCTGCCATCCCTTATCAGCTGTCCGATAATATGGATAGTGCTTTGTAATGTAGGAGTAAATACCACTCAATGTGAGCTGTTTGTCTTGGGCTGAGGAAATGGCCTGAACAATCAGCTGGGCATAAGAATATGGCGGCTTTGAATCATCCTGGAAAATATAAGATGTAATTATCTACTTTTTGTAATAAATATTCAAAGTGCAGTACAGTGCAGTACAGTACAGTACTGTACTGTACTGTACTGTTAAATTTATTAAAGAATAACAAATCATTTTTGCCTATCATTTAATTCATAAGGTCTTTATGCTAGTTTAGTTTAATCCAGACCAAAGTTTGTCCTAGATAAACTATCAAATACTGTACAGCTGTACTGGAATAATTAACAAATTGGTTACTCATACATAGTAGACATTTAAGTTTACCACATCTTTTTATATTAACTTCAGGATAAACTCTTGACCTGCAAAATTCTTGGTCATCATATAATTCAGCTCATCAAGTATTAATCATTCATGTCATGACATACCTTGGCACCTGCACCAGGCGGACTGTGTGGTTGGTCAGGCGGGTGTGGTGAGGTGAAGTACCCATCATCTGCCATGGATTGCGGGAGGCCATTGTGGTGGTACTGCTGGTTAGATGCTGCCAAATTCACTTGATTTTCTTCATGTGTTGTCGATACTGTAACTGTGGATGACAAAACTACTCAGGTTAACTTGGTACCAATTCTCATACTCATAAAATCTTTCAACAATCATGGGATACCTATGGCTTTAATATTAAGTTTATCAGTTATGATTGCCGAGTCACATCAGCTTTCATAAAAAATATTTGAATGTAATACCTGTACTGTACAGTACTTGTATATTGTGTCGTGCACTAGGAAATACAACAAATGTTATTCTTGTCTTAGTACCCTACCTATGCGAGGGTGGCTTCTTGTAGAATTATAAAAAACATTTGAGAAACCTTAAACTGTTAAAATTCAAAAGGAATATAAAATCAACACAGTAATTTAATCAAGAGAAAGGTAACTGATAGTGAAGATGGTGCATCTTATTACAGTACATTATTTTAAGATTATGGGAGAACTGTACTGTATACAGCCTCTTCAAATGTACTATACTGTACTGCACAGTAAAAACATCAAGGTAACAGATACTGTAGTAGTATAAATTCAAGCACACCCACAAAAAATATAAATTTAAAGTCATCTGATCAATAGCTTGATTATTTAATGTGATAATCAAAAGGATATATAATAATTATTTTTTTAAATATTATACAGCAAGCTACAAGCTCCTAAAAATGCAATGATGATAATGCAACCAAATTTCTTCATAAGTCAAATTTAATGTCAAAACAGTTTCTGGAGTAAAGATAATAGCTACTAACAGTTGTCCTATGAATTTTTCAAATCCCAAATTTATTTTGAATCAGAAGTTAGGATGGCAACTTCTATGAGGAGGTTATTTCTGAGGTTGCTCGTAGGTTTGCTATGGTACGGTACAGTACAGTACCCCCAAACCTATTACTACAGCAAAATGCATAAACACTGCATGTACAGTAGTGTAGTACAGTATATTGGCCATAACCATGGACCAGGTTCCTGCAGATAGTGTCTATCTGATATGACAAAGCTTTTATAAAGTACCTGTAGTTTAAAATGCCTTGAAACCAAGGGATATCATACTTGACAAAAGTTTTCCCTTTCATGCAAAAATATTGCTGTACAGTGTTCAGTACAGTATTCTTGTATTAGACACCAGTACAATAGTACTGCATTTAAGTGCTTCACCATCATTAGGTAATTAGTGTAAAGTATAAGATTCTCTTTATTACATATCCGTTTTTAACAATATCCACATTATAAGCCTTTTATTTATTTTTTGTTTTTAAATAATTTGTTGGCCAGTATTACAGTACAAGTACTGTATTGTACATGCTTTCATTCTCTCCTACTTCTCCTATGCTTCCATCTTCACATCATTGTACTACACGGGGACTGACTTGTTGACTGCTATTATTATGCCTTAAGCATTGCAACAGTTCATTCAATGAAGCTACAACAGGAAGTGACACAATATTAATTACCTGTATAATCTATGTATTGTACAGTATAAGGTAACAACATTGCCATTTTTGGATACCCCTGTATTGTATTAAAAAAATGTTGGATCCTGGCTAAGGTGCTCTGTGATAATTTTAGGTTCTTGCCAACGAAATACATACACACATAAATGCAGCTGCCTGGTGCTTAAGAGATGGAACTTGGGTAAAACCTGACTAAATAAAAATGGGCTGATAGTACAGTAATACAGTACTGTAATGTAACTGATGCAAGGGGCAATTGGTGTTCCAGGTCATATTTTAAGCTATCTCTCATGTGACTAACTAACCTGTATTAGCAATGTCACCTTTATCTTCCATGGCAGCATATGCAGCCTGGACCAGGTTCTCTGCATTGACTCCTCTTTTTATTCCTGCCAGCCCACCGTGGCCCCCCCGCGGGGATGTGGGACAGCTGTTGGCTGCACTGAAAATAGAAATACATTCTCAATTAAACAAAATACAGTATATGCTTTCAGCTATCACACCCTCTTTTTGTGTGAATAGAGCCACTTGATTTATCATTTAGGTATCCAGGTACATTTACCTAAAAGTTTCCAAGAGAAATAGGTAAATCTAACTACTTTTAAATTTTTTTGACTTTGGTTAAATAAATATAATGTACTTGTACAATGAAAGGGTTAAGAATAAACTGGTGAAATGCTGTACAGTACTGTACAAGTACAGTAACCCCCAATCTTCAATATTATGCTTGACCAATGGTAATGTATCAAGGCCACCCCCCATCTATCACTGCATTTGTCAGCTGCGGTAAATCTACCCATGTGACACCAAGCAGCCATCTGGAGCACTACATCCCAGTGCATTGTTCCATGGTGATCGTATCTGCCCATGATCATATACCTATCCGATTATTGATCAGTATCGGTGATGTTACTTATCATCAGTTTTTTTTTCCTTAAGATGCATCCATACTTGCTAAATAACACGTTACCTGCATTAGCAATGTAATGTAACATGTTTGAGAATATTTAAGAGAAATTTCATGTAAAACTAAAAAAAAAAAAAAAATCGAGGTATATAACATGTTACATGTCGTCCGTTTGAAGTCGCAAAAATCAACTGATGTTACATAAATTGTTATATAACATGTTATAATTACATCTAGACACAGGTTGTTCATAAGCCTTAGTTTATTCAGTTTCCTCCAGCCAGCTGAGAGGTGAGAATCAGAGGCTGACTTTGCTTGTGACATTTTACCAATACCCTGTACTGTACAGTAATATCCAAATGAAGTGGTCTAGAGAAGCAACATGTCAACTGATTGATTCCAGTGATTTTGAAAAAAATCTATATTTGTTTTATAACCAATAAAGCCAGGAGCCTTATTGTGCACCCACTTTAGAACAATAAGCTTAACCCTTAGGCCCCGGGTGACGTTCCAGAACGTTGGCCTATTCCTGCCTTTTTTTTATTATTATTTTGGGAAAGGTTGATTTTTCTTGATTTATCCCTGCGGAGGGTACTGCCAGCAGCACCCTGATAGGTCATGCCTGCAATGTTTTATTAAACATAATTTTAAGAATAAAATTTAGAACAGAAAGGTAGTAAACAGCTACCAAACAGAGAGGTACTACAGCCTGGGAAGATATTGGAAGCATAATGCATTGTCTAATGGTAGACCCTGCTGCCATATGGCATCACGAAAATTGTGACCAAGTCCCAGGTTGCTGATCTGACTTTCTGCCTCATTTACACACAATTGCAGGGTCTCAATTGTTTCTCTTACCATTGGCAACACAACATACATATATTGTTTCTCACTTTTGATCTTTTTTTTCATTTTTGTAGTTCTTTATTACATCATCATTATTATTATTATTTCCCCAGGCCCTGATGTGGGTCAGTGACCTGTGCCCGGGTGGGCACAAGTCACTGACCGTAAAAAAAAAAAAGCTATCTGAAGAGCCAAAGTGATTTAGAAAGTGGAAAGGAACTAGAGAAGCTACAGTATATAGTACAGTACAGTATTTGGTTTGAGAATTTTAAGTGAAAGGGCTTTCGAGGTCCAAAGAAATTTGTATATTGTATCTGCTTTGTTTATTTTTAAAAAGTTTTTTATAAGGTAAAGCACAATAAACTTAAAACGGATCTTGGGAAAAATAGGCATTGATGAAGGAAAAACTGTACCTGTATTAGAATTTTAAAGAATCTTTACTAGCAACAGGAGGCCGCTTAGTATACGAGTACAATGAACTTACTAATTGGTTCACAATTAGACAGGGAGTAAGACAAGACTATGTTCCCTCTCCATCATAGTACAATATACAGTACAGTATAGCTATTCACAATTCTTAATGAGAAGTTATAAGTGATAATGAAGGAAATAAAGTTAATGGTAAAGTAATATCACATAGATAGGCTATCCAGATGATACTACTACTATACTCCTTATCACAGTTAGCGAAGAGGCATTACAAAAACTTGTTAACGGATTAGTGGAAAAAGGTGAAAAATATGGTTTAAGAGTTAATGATTTAAAGACTAAAGTAATGGTTGTTTCCAAAAAAGAAATAAATCCTAATAAAAACATTATGGTAGGCAACAGGGATCTTAAACAAGTGGAAATTTTTGTGGTACAGTATTTGGGAAGTAACATTAGCTGTGGTGATAGATGTATAGAATAAAAAAAGAATAGGGCAAGCAAGAACAGCATTTAATAATCTAAGACATAATGAAAAGGGACATTAACTTCAAATTGAGAAAAAAGCTGCTGAAAGGCTTTATCTGCCAAGGACAGGTGTATGGGTCACAAGTGTGGACACTTTCAACAGACACCAGAAAGAGGTTGGAGGCCTTTGAAATGTGCTGTTATAGGCAAATACTTAAACTGGCAAAAATTTCGAGAAATGCTTGAAATGTACAGTAGCTAAAACAGCTATCTGTGCAGGTGGGGGGTCGATATGCTCCGAAATTTTACGTGTGACTAGTGACAGCCCTCATATACCAAAATTTATCGTCCATGTTCTCATATTGTTTCCCACAAAGTATGCACAGATAGTTGTTTTAGCTACTGTACATGGTAAAAAAAAGAAGAAGATACTTTGGTCAGATGATTAGGGGTGAGGAAATAATAACAGAAATACATAATGAGCAAAGTTGAGGGTAGGAGGGACATGGGAAGGCAGAGGATGGATGAATGAATGAAATTAAAAACTGGGTCCCCAGAGATACAAAACCTTGGAGGATTGTTAAAAACAGCCTGAGAACATTTAGAGTGGAGGACTGTGGGCACCAACCCTCAGATATGAGGAAAGTACTTCTCTGGTTGATTGGGAGGACATCACTAACATTGACAATGTACTCTGCTTTGGTGACTGAAGTGATTTTTGCTACTTTTTAGTGACTAAAATGCTTGGCCTCTGTTGTTGTGAACATAATGTGAGCAGTGTTGGCCGTTATCATTGTTTTACGTTATCATCGCTGCCCCACAATTACATGACATCATGAATGTTCAAAGTGAACTCAGTTTTTGTGTTTGTGACAAGCGTTTTTAATCAATTTGTGTGATTGTGAAGTGCTTTAACTCTGCTTTTGTGACACTTGCTTTCACTCTTTTAATTACTGTGATGTGCTTTTGTTGTTTTAATGATTGTAAGGTGCTTCCCACTGTTTTTTACTGTGAAGTGAGCAGTGTAACCTTAAAAATGTCTAGCAAGCATGTTGATGAGAGTCGGGCATCTAAGGCCAAGGCACCTGGGAAAACTGTCTCTCTGGCGGTGAAGCTTGACAATGTAAACCAGCATGGTCCAGTCAACGGTATCTACTATCATTAAAAGTGAAAGCTGTGGCGCAGAACGTGAGCCCAGTTTCTGCTTCTATGTCATTAAAGAAGCATGACCCTATCATGGATAGGATGGAGAAACTACTCCAGGACTGGATTCAAGATCAGCTATAGAAGCATGAGTCTAACACGGACAGGATGGAGAAGCTACTCCAGGTCTGGATTCAAGACCAGACTCAACACCATTTGCCTCTCCACAGTTATCATCTGGCAAAGGCGTGCAACAGCAGCGCCATTGAGGCTTTATTCAAGGCAACTCTTGAGTGGTTGAACCGTTTCAAGAAGCACGTCTGACTGGTGAGGCAGCCAGTGCTGACGTCATGAGTGCCAATGCCTTCCTGCAGGCTAAGGTAGATGAATAAGGAGGATTCAATGCCAAGCAGGTCCTGAATTTCAACAAGATGGGCCTGTTTTGGAAGAGGATGCCCTCAAGGACTCTCCTGGCCAAAAAAAGAAGATTGCATCAGGTATCAATGTTACCAATGACCACCTTATGTTGGTGCTTGGAGGCAATACTAAGGGGTACTGTAAGTTGACTCAGATACTGGTGTACCACTTGGAGAACCCCTAAGGTCTTTATTAACCTTATGCTCGAAAACTGGTATTTAAGGCATAAAATAAATGCAGTCACTCCAAACATACTGTTGTGGCTGGCATGCACATGGTCCCCTACATCCACAGCCACCACGGCACCCACGACCTTGCTGAGAGAGTGGTTGGCGGGATGGGAAAGGGCGTCATTATCTATATCACTGTCCTTCCCGCTGGCCATCTCAACAAACTCTACATCATTTGGGTCTGTTTCCTCCCCATCACTGTGTTTACCATCCAATACTATATCAATGCCACTCAAATCAAGTTACTCTTGACGAATAGCACTACTGTCGAAGGTATGGAAGGGCAAAGCAGGCCACAAGATGTTGAAGGACTTGCATCCATCATGATAGCTGATGGGTAACTGAACCACTAGAATTGAGACAAAGATCATGTGCAAGTTGAGTTGCCACGTATCGTACATAAATATCCTATACAATGCACGTCGTCCCGCCTAGACATTCAAACTACTATGCTGCAAAAATTAGGGATGTAGAGGAACATTACCCGGGGTCACTATGGTGAAAGTAGAGGAACGTCACCTGGGCTTTAAAAGTTAAGGAGCACATCCCAGGCATCTGGTGCTCCAACAAGAAGGCCTGGGTCACATCAGTGTTGTGCCAGAGTTATGTGGTTGGCTACCTCTCCAAGTGCCTTAAGGAGTACGTCGCCGAGCAGAACATCCCCAACAAGTTTCTCCTGATCCTCGACAATGTACCTTCACACCCGCCTACGATGGGTGAGTAAACTGACAGAATCGGTGTGATGTTTCTGCCCTCCCAACACCACATCATTCATCCAGCCGATGAATCAGGCCATCATCGCAACCTTCAAAGCCTACTACAGTACTTGAGGCGGTTGATGACACAGCTGTTTGAGGTGACAGATGAAGAGGGAACGTCGACCATAAAGAATTCTGGCACAGCTACATCAAGCATGCCATACAGAATATTGAAAAGGCATGTACAGTATATTACTTACTAAAAATGTACATTGCAGAAGTACTAATATGAATATAAATAGGCAAGGTGGGATATGATTGTTTTTCTCTTTAATTTTTATAACATTTTAGTCTATTGGATTGTTCATTCTCAAACTGACAGTTCCAACACTAGGTACAACACAGTAGCCTAACTATAAATAATTTGCAGTAATTTATAATCTTTGACTAGCACCATTTTTTGGGCATTTACCCAATACAGTACAGTGGAAGAGTTGTTGACACAAACGAGATTTTTACAAAAGAAGTCGAGGAAGACAAACTTTATTTCCCCAAACACCAAATAGGTGTTTACGTCTTGGCCACTGAGGCAGGTAGCGCCTTGATGTCATTGGCAGCTTAAGAATGAATACAATACCAACAGTACTGAAAATTTGGTGATTGGTTGTGGTAATTACAGTAAAATTTTAATTCCGGTCATCCCTGTATTAGAAGTCAAAATTATGTTTTTCCGGCGGTTTTTGGAGTGTTATGAAGACTTTTTTACCTTCGTTTCTGTCAAAAATCACTACTACTTGTTAATAACCCACCCACCCCTTTAACCATCAGTAATGGGGGGACCCCCAGTGGGAACCCGAGGTTTTGGGTGGGGAAAAATCACAAAAACAAGTAATTTCCGACAGATATAAAGGTCCAAATCGTTCAAAACACATCAAAACCCATCAGAAAAACATAGTTTGGAAATCTAACGTAATCGAACCTAATCTAATGTAACCTGAATAATATGCGACAGAAATGCAATAGAAGAAAGGTGTCTTAGAACTATCTAAACTACTGATTCCAAGAGTTAAATTCCTAAGAATCCCCATATGACCAAACCCTTGATGACCGAAACCACAATACAGTACAGTAATAACAAATCTATTACAGTTAATCCAAACCTCAGGTCCAATAGCACAGCACTAAATCGTACACAGTTAAGTGGGGTTTTTTTCTTCATTTGCTGGAGCCATTTTCCTCCAGCATCATGGCATTATTTGTTGTTGTAAGCGAAACAAACACTTCCATGCAGGTAAGAGGAACAATTTTATATTGGTATTTTTGCGTTAGTGCACACAACTTTCCTGCACCAAATATATTATCATATTCTAATAAGACGTCTAATTATAAGATAATTTTCTTCTATTACAATACCGTCGCAAACGTATAATAACGGAGATAGCGCATGCCAGATATTTCTCTATTTTCTTCCATTAATCTTCCGCCATTATCGCCTGCCACTCTGCGTGTTTCCTTCACAAATCGTCACGCGCATGTGTTCCCATACACGTCATACGGCCAACCAAAAGCGTCCCCCCCCCACCCAATTAAAATGATTTGAGGTTTTATTCGCGGTATTTTTGGCCCAGTCAGTTTTAATTTTTATTTTGGGTCTCATATTTCAAAATTAATTTCCGACCATGGAAGTCTGCAATGGGTGTTACTTCAATTATATGGAGCTGATTGCACATTTTGGGGAAAATAATAACGAGCTATAGCATTTTTTAGATCTCGTGGTATTCTCACGACCTCAGTAACGTGTCCTAAGTGTAAGAACGAATGTAAATATCGTCACGACCAACATTGTGGTAACTCGTCCCTTATTCCCAAGACAAAGAAGAGACGTTGGTGTTCGTACTCACCATCAGTGATTACAAAGGAAAATTTTTATTAAAGTGCCATTTTCACCTGTACTAATCTCCAGAATCGAACCAGAACCAGGCCAATAAGGTAAGAAATAAATGATTCCATCATATGGTGAGAGTTAAGTTAGGTTAGGTTAGTTTGGTTAGGTCAGGTCAGGTCAGGTTTATATGCTTGTTTTTCTAGTGTTTTTATTGTGTATTCGATTGGCCATAATTTTGGTCTGAAAACGCCCCACCCAAAACCCCCGATAACTAAAACGGTCAATTTCCGACGGAAATCAAAACACAAAAATACACAAGATGAACAAAGTTTAGACTTTCTAACAGAGTTGAGTGCACTAATGCAAATTTACCTTGATATTTTTTTGACATTTGCCCCGACGTTCATGTACAGTATAACTGCAACAAATATTTAAAAGGTAGAGGAGCCAATCGTCTAGAAACATTTTTTGGGGGTGTGTAAGAAACTAACTGGTGGATGGAGGTGGTGCAGATCATCTTGATAATTACCCACAATTCAAGTCTTGGGATTTAAGGAATATATTTAATGTGATCTTTTTATTATAAAATAAAACAAAGAATGCAAAATTATGTCATTAGCCTCACCTGCTTGGCATGACAGCTGCTACCATCACTAATCCTACTACTACTGCCGCTGCTGACAACTTCCGCCGACCTCTGAATGAATGAAGTTAGACGCCATTATGGGTCGTCATTTCCGGCAGTCATTCAAGGGTGCCTGAGTGACTGACTTCATAAATTCACATCCATCACGAGGCTCTCGCCAGCGGCCAGCCACCCACAACAAACACCATAACTGTCGAGCGCCAACCTATCTACAAATTAATTTACGCTTTATCTTATCTTGCCACCTTAATATCGATCAGCAAAATGTTATATGACAATAGGGGTGCTATGCTACATGGGATGGGCGCGAAGTGACTGAACTTAATAACAATGTTATCATCAACAATCGGGTGCTAAGCTTTATTAACTTATGATATGATGTCAAAATACATCCACCCCGAACTACTACATATACTGTACCTGTAACTATGGTTATCAGTTACTGAACATTTATAAAGTCAGTAAACACGTCAATTCACATTTATAGTTTAAAGGGTATTCGTTAAAAAACAATCAATAGCGTAGATTTCACATGCTCTGACTTTCAGTTCCTGAGTCTTTTTCACTACGACCAATGTAATATTCAAAACACTTAAACAGTTTGGAAAAATGGTGGTTAATGAAAAAAATTAACCAAATAAACCATGTTTGTAATTAATGTCTTGAGTTTTGATGCAATCAATTGCATTATCTTTCATATTTCAATCGAAAACTGCGGAGTACAGTACAGCACTGTAGGCCTAGTGTATAATATTTTCATTATAAACTAATTAAAAAAACTATTTAGTTTACACGAATGTTTTTTTTGTGCTTGCTATTGAAATGTTTGCAATATTAATTATGATCGGTTCTTAATATAACATAATTCAACTCGTTAAAGGAACAAAAACACAAATTGAAAGAATGCGTCACTCTAGGTCAAGATGGCGGTGGTAAACTTAACAGTCGAAGATTTTAATATGTACGTGGTCCTAAATTTCGATTGCAAATGTTTCTGTCACCGATTTCATTCCATTACATAGCAGCTTGGTTAACTTATTGCCGAGGCACGCTCTTGAAATGGTCTAACAAGCTTTACATCTGTGTGTGGAGGAACAAATCTTAAACCAACAAACCCCATCAACTCCTAGACTGTTTATTACTCTATACCAGAGTGGGAAGGAATGAGCGGGAGAGACGATAAAAACTAAAAAGGGAAAAAAGGGAGGGAAAGTGTGCGAGGAGACTAACAGTATGGCGGAGGTGATGAGGACTGATTCTTGCGTCATCATGGTGAGCTCACCAAAAAAAAAAATCCTTGCACGTGAGACAATCCATCGTCTTTCGATTGCAGACGGAAGGCAAGAATGTTTGTCTGGTTTCCACGTTCTTGCCTTCCGCCTGCAGTGGCACTCTTGAAGGTACAGAGGTAGTAGCTGGCGACTCTACCAAAAACCCAAGAGAGAATACATTCGGAGAAGAAAGATATTTTGTGTGATGATGAAAAGTAACAAAGTACCAAGCGAGTGAGTGCTGAAGGGACATAAGCGTAAAGACCACCACTGTCCTCATATAAATAAAGTGTACTTTATCCCGCGAGGCTCTACCACAGTTCAGTACGTAATACCAACACACGGAGTGGGGAGGGGGGGTGAAGGGAGAGGTTTCGGTGTGGTGGCGTCGACATCTCAATAATTCTCTGGCAGACCAGGTTGAGCCACAACAGATCAATGACCTCCGACTACCTCTAAGGGCGGATCCGGGGGGGACCGTGGGAGTCCCCCCCCCCCCTTTTCCTCAGAAAATTAAAAAAAAATTCTTTAATGCAATATTATATCCAGGCATTTTTGTATAGTAAAAAGTAATTTCTATTGACCTCAGAATCTCCAAATATCAAGTGCATATGGCTTCAAAATGCCCATGATATTGGTCAGATTTAAAAAAAAAATACCCAGCTGGATGGGTTCGGGTTCGCTGTGCTCGCCATGTTCCCCCACCCACAACTTCTTGATATTCCTGGATCCGCCCCTGCACCACATCACAAGTTTTATACCTAGTACACCACCTCCCAAATTAATTTGACAAGCATCGATCACCTTTTACATCTAACAAAACAGCAAACCATTCTGGTAATGAAAATTGAGTTCAACCAGTCCACAAATGTGTAGTTAGGAACAGCCACCATTTAAACACTTGCTTAATAATCAAACAACGATGCAGTAATGTTCATTTAGATAAAGTTCAATCTGAATGTGTAATTAAGGCCTATGGTTTAGTTAAATACAGGTAAGAGACAGTCTTCTGTCACTAATCTGATCTCAGCTGGATAAGGTGAGACAAAGTAAGTTCTCTCTACCATTCTACTGGCTAATTTGCTGAGTCCCTTGGAGGTTGTGTGCCAGAGGGGCCTTTTTCGTCCTAAGGAAAATATTATCCCCCCCCCCCCTTTTTCACACTTCTCTCTATTCCCCCACCTTTTCCATATTTCCTCTACCCCTTTCCCTCCTCCCCTCACTACTTCCTCTCTATCCACCTGCTTCATCCTCTTTTTTTTTGTTATTCACCCTCCATCTTTCCTCCCTCCCTCCTCTACCTTCATCCTCACCCTCCCCTTCAGTCTTCCTCTATTTTTTGTCGTTATTCACCCCATCTCTCATTCTTTCTCTCCACCCTTCTTGCCGATAAAAAGCCTCCCACCCAAAAATGCACCTGCGTGTGTACAAAAAAATAAACTAAAAACAATCGAACACTACAATATGTCCAGGTTTCTGTTCCAGGTACAGACTACAGTATCGTGACAACACAAGGCTCGCCTGGATGTTTATCTCATGAGCAGCTATTAAATTTCGTAATGCTGCTCCGTGTTTGGATTTTGTCAGCATGGCCAACTCTGTTTCCTGTGTTCTCGGTGGGGGGGGATACAGCAACACTTGAGATAAAGGTGACAGCTAAGGGAACGTTTCGGATCACCTGAAGATTAGACACATCCCAACGCTAACTTTACTTTACCCTACATAAATTTCCCCCATTGTAGCACTAGGGTGTTTCATCATGTAATAAAATACAGTAAGCTGGGGTGCAGAATCTTAAGTGATCCCAGGTTTCCTCTCTCCTCCCTTTTATCCGTTATCGTTTTTCTTTCTCTAATTTCCATAACTTCCATTGTTCCACCTTCAGCCTTTCCTGCCCGTGTGCCTCTCTCGTTACATTTCTTCCGTTTATGTTCACTTCCCTTCCTTAATTATCCTTATATCACTTTTTTACTTTAATCACGAGTTTATCTTACATCACCTGCCCTTTTCTCACCTCTACCAACTGCCTTATCTACGTACGTACTCCACCCCCCACCACTTCACCATAACCTTCCCACATACCTCAACCCCTACACCAATCACCCTTAATTTCCCTTTTCTCACTCCTCCCGCGTCATCGCTATTCACCAACCCTATCACCACGTTCATTCAGGGTCTTCCTTGTCCTCCCACTATTCCCCCGCTCGTCAGCATGCGTATTGACTCCATACTCTCGCTATCACTCCTCATGGGTTCTCGTGCTTAAGGTTAGGTGAGGTTAAGGTCTACTGACTAAGACAATTATTTGTATATAAAGTAGTGGTGACCTTACAACCTTAGGCCTGAACCCGAGTTACAACTGGCAGTGATCACATCAATAATCAGATCACAACATCAATCCGCTAGATCACCTTTAGATTGGACACCCAAGCTTATTTCACCTGATGTAATATTAACCATCCGAACTCCCTTCAGTGGGTTAGAGTGATTAATCTTCAGGTGAGTGAAATATTGTCCTTTTGATTACTCACACCATGTGCAACACTGAAGTTGATTTATGCGCTGAGTGTAGGGAAGTTGCCACCGCTGCCTTAACCACAATAACAAATCTTAAAGGATTGATCAGATGTTATACTCGAGATACTAATTTGAAATATAAAACAAATACACTTTATAACACGACCGTCTACTTACTCTCCAGACGCAAACAAGCAAAACAAACAAGTGATATCCTTCCCCATTACACCCCTCCCTCCAGACGCGTGGCCTTCTCCATTTACACCCCCCCTCTACAATCATTTCCCCTCCCTCCCGACGCATGGTCCTCTTCATTTACACATCCCTTCATCCTCCTCCACTACAACACTCCCATCCCTCCCGCCGGCAGTGAGTCGCACAACACTCTTGTTTACGTTTTCGTGCAGGGGGTGTGGGGGGAGGAGCGCGAGGCCTGGGGGATAGTATTGTGCCCCTCAGCGAGCGTAGCACGTCTTCCATCCCGTACCGAGCTTTATATTGCTCCCGCACCACCAACATTAGGCAGCAAGGTTTGCTTCTCACGGGAAAAACAAGGATACTCCGCAGGGCAGCGCAGACTAATGTAGAAAATACATGCGGATAACGTAAAAACATGAGCGAGTGAACCTTAGTCTCCAGTTGAAGGTGAGCGTTGGCAACAAGCATAAACCTGTTCATAAAGCAGCACTTGTTTATTACGTCAAACTAATGCTCAGCTGGTAGTACTGTAAACATGTTGGTGTAGTGAGGCGATATATACTGTATACTGCGGCGAAATGCCGAAATGCCAATCAATCTCTCTCTCTCTTATCGGAGTGTTCTCGTGTATTCTTTTGATCAACATAATTATAACAATTCTGATCACCAAAACAAGTAATAACCTCCTGCAGACACAACTCCTGGATGCACGTTCATGTTCCCTATAAATGATATGATGTTCTTTTAACGATATCGATTTATCTTGACTAACAGAATCTTTTAGTGTGAAATTAATACTAAGGAAGTTAAATCTATTCACAAATAATAATACGGATACAGGTGTAAGTACAACTACTGTACAAGTATATAATGTACAATTGCAGGGACCATTTTTTGCTACCACTTATAATATACATCCTCGGCTATGACGACACAATCACCTTCCATAACACAATTATCTCCTCTGTTTATTAATGTACGGAACCCTTCACCAGAGGACCTACTGCCCCCGTCATCCAACTCCATGAACAAGGTCTGGGTCACTACTTAGCTAATAAGATTCCTCACGCGAACGTCTGAGTCAAGTATAAACTACCAGTGCAGGATTGTTCTTATTGCGGATCACCTAAAGAATCTGCACCCTAGCATATTTCACCTAAAGATTAACCACCCTATCACGATTCGGGGGG